TCATTGCCAATCTCCCACCCAGCCCTGCCCTCTGGCACTGGGAGCCATTCCCTGGCTCCTGTCCCTCCAGCCTTGTCCCCAGTCCCTCTGCAGCTCTCCTGGAGCCCCTCCAGGCCCTGCCAGGGGCTCTGAGCTCTGCCTGGATCCTTCTCCTCTCCTCCTGAACGTTCCCAGCTCTGCCAGCCTGGCTCCAGCCCTGCAGCATCTCCAACAGCTCCATGTCATTCTGACATGAACAAGTGTCCTGTCCCTCCAGCCTTGTCCCCAGTCCCTCTGCAGCTCTCCTGGAGCCCCTCCAGGCCCTGCCAGGGCCTCTGAGCTCTGCCTGGATCCTTCTCCTCTCCAGGGGAACATTCCCAGCTCTGCCAGCCTGGCTCCAGCCCTGCAGCATCTCCATGGCCTCCAGCAGCTCCAGGTCCTTCTGACATGAACAATGTCACTCTGGGGTTTGTGGCCTCTGAAAGACACTGCAGAATGTGCAATTAATTATTTCAAATTAATTCTCAGATAATTCTCAATACACAGCTAATTCCCACGCAGGAATTTGTTTGAGCACATCTCATCCACCCCACCAAAGATCCCAGGAGGAGATGGGGATTCCAGGCTGTCACTGATTTTTGTGATCAGGTTTCAGCATATTGCTCAGACAGCAGCATGAACAGCACAGCTTGATTGATGTTGCACTGATCAGAAATCAGGAATTGACCTTTGCAGATGAAGTTAAAGCTCTGTCAGGCTGATCTGAGAACTGATCACCCCACCAAAGATCCCAGGAGGAGATGGGGATTCCAGGCTGTCACTGATGTTTTGTGATCACTTTCCAGCATTATTGCTCAGCCACCAGCGTTAACAGCACAGCTTGATTGAAGTTGCACTGATCAGAAATCAGCAATTTACCTTTGCAGATGAAGTTAAAGCTCTGTCAGGCTGATCTCACAACAGATCAGCCCCCCAAATATCCCAGGAGATGGGGATTCCAGGCTGTCACTGATGTTTTGTGATCAGGTTTCAGCATATTGCTCAGCCAGCAGCGTTAACATCCCAGCTTGATTGATGTTGCACTGATCAGAAATCAGGAATTTACACTTTCAGATGAAGTTAAAGCTTTTCCAGGCTGTCACTGATGTTTTGTGATCAGGTTTCAGCATATTGCTGAGCCACCAGCGTTAACAGCACAGCTGGATTGATGTTGCACTGATCAGAAATCAGGAATTGACCTTTGCAGATGAAGTTAAAGCTCTGTCAGGCTGTCACTGATTTTTGTGATCACTTTCCAGCATATTGCTCAGACACCAGCATGAACAGCACAGCTGGATTGATGTTGCACTGATCAGAAATCAGGAATTGACCTTTGCAGATGAAGTTAAAGCTCTGTCAGGCTGTCACTGATTTTTGTGATCACTTTTCAGCATATTGCTCAGGCACCAGCGTTAACATCACAGCTGGATTGATGTTGCACTGATCAGAAATCAGGAATTGACCTTTGCAGATGAAGTTAAAGCTCTGTCAGGCTGGTCTGAGAGGAAATCTCCTCTCAGGGTTAGGTGAGACTCCGGAGGCTGTTGGGTTGTTGGCTCTGTGCTTCCCCCAGAGCTGTCTGGGACATGTGTATGCTGTAACATATCAGTAAAACATTATTTAAAAAATACCTTATAAAATCAAGCCTTACTATTTCAACTAAACTACAGCTAACCTAAAAAGTTCCTATTTAAAAAATCAATTTACATAATTGAATGAAGTTAAAGCTCTGTCAGGCTGGTCTGAGAGGAAATCTCCTCTCAGGGTTAGGTGAGACTCCGGAGGCTGTTGGGTTGTTGGCTCTGTGCTTCCCCCTGAGCTGTCTGGGACATGTGTATGCTGTAACATATCAGTAAAACATTATTTAAAAAATACCTTATAAATTTCAACTAAACTAACAGCTAACCTAAAAAGTTCCTATTAAAAAAAATCAATTTACATTATTGATATGATACATAATCTATACTTATTAAAAAAACAATTCACACCTACAAAAAAGAAAATTTACCCAGATAAAGCACTCGCTTCCCAGAGAACAAGTTGCACTGATCAGAAATCAGGAATTGACCTTTGCAGATGAAGTTAAAGCTCTGTCAGGCTGGTCTGAGAGGAAATCTCCTCTCAGGGTTAGGTGAGACTCCGGAGGCTGTTGGGTTGTTGGCTCTGTGCTTCCCCCAGAGCTGTCTGGGACATGTGTATGCTGTAACATATCAGTAAAACATTATTTAAAAAATACCTTATAAAATCAAGCCTTACTATTTCAACTAAACTACAGCTAACCTAAAAAGTTCCTATTTAAAAAATCAATTTACATAATTGATATTGATATGATACATAATCTATACTTATTAAGAAAACAATTCACACCTACAAAAAAGAAAATTTACCCAGATAAAGCACTCGCTTCCCAGAGAACAAAAAATGTAAACTACCTAAAAAAATTAATTCACATATACAGTGTTACCAACCTATAAAGGATATAAAATAAAATAAGTTTCAATAAATTAATAACCAATTAATTTCAAAAATTACACCTTCTAATATTCCTATAAATATAAGCTATTAAAATTTTAATAAAGTAAATAAATTTTTAAAAATTATATTCAACTATCTGAATAAAAATGTTTTAAATTATATTAAAACTGTGTAAATAAAATGTTTTAAAATTATATTAAAACTATGTAAATAAAAATTTTAGAAATTATATTAAAGCTATGTAAATAGAAGTTTTAAACAATTATATGAAAACTATGTAAATATTTTTTAAAATTATATTAAAACTGTAAATAAAAAAGGTAAAAATTGTATTAAAACTATAAAAATAAAAATTTTAAAATTTATATTGAAACTATGTAAATAATTTTTTTAAAAAATTACTAAAACTATGTATGTAAAAGTTTTAGAAATTATATTAAAGCTATGTAAATAGAAGTTTTAAACAATTATATGAAAACTATGTAAATATTTTTTAAAATTATATTAAAACTGTAAATAAAAAAGGTAAAAATTGTATTAAAACTATAAAAATAAAAATTTTAAAATTTATATTGAAACTATGTAAATAATTTTTTTAAAAAATTACTAAAACTATGTATGTAAAAGTTTTAGAAATTATATTAAAGCTATGTAAATAAAATTTTGTAAAAATTATATTAAAACTAGAAATAAAAAATTTAAAAATTAGATTAAAACTATGTAAATTATTATTAAAAAATTTATTATAATGATGTAAATAATTTTAGAAATTATATTAAAGATATGTAAATAAAATTTTAAAAATTATATTAAAATTATGTAAATAAAATTAAACTATGTAAATTATTATTTAAAAAATTATTATAATGATGTAAATAATTTTAGAAATTATATTAAAGATATGTAAATAAAATTTTAAAAATTATATTAAAATTATGTAAATAAAATTTTAGAAATTATATTAAAGCTATGTAAATATTTTTTAAATTATATTAGAACTATGTAAATAAATTTTTTTACAATTTTTATTAAAACTGTAAATAACAATTGTAAAAATTATACTAAAACTATATAAATAAAAAATGTAAAAATATATTAAACTGTGTAAATTAATTTTTTTAATTTATTAAAACTGTAAATGAACATTTTAGAAATTATATTAAAGCTATGTAAATAAAATTTAAAAAAATTTATATTTAATCTATGTAAATAAAAAATGTAAAAACTATATTAAATTCTTAATTCTATAATTAATTGATTATATTATCTAAATATTTCTTTAAATTATATTGAAATTATGTACATTTAAAAAAATTAAAATTATATTTAAACTGTAAATAAAAATTTGATTACAACTGTGTAAATGAAAAATTTAATCATTATATTAGAACTATATAAATGAAAAATTTAAAAATTATATTAAAATATGTAAATAATTTAAAAAATTATATTAGAACTATATAAATGAAAAATTAAAAATTATATTAAAAATGCAAATAAAATTTTTAAAAATTATATTACAACTATGTAAATGGAAAATTTAAAAACTATTAAAACTGTAAATAAAAATTATATTAAAATATGTAAATAATTAAAAAATTATATTAAAACTATGTAAATGAAGCTTTAAAAATTATATTAAAACTATGTAAATAAAAATTTTAAAAGTATGTTACTATGTAAATGAAAATTTTAAAAATTATATTAAAACTAGATAAAATTAAAAAACATACTAAAATAGGTAAAGAAAATTTTAAAATTTATTAAAACTATGTAAATGAAAATTTTTAAATTACATTAAAACTATGTAAATAAAAATTTAAAACTGCTACAACTATGTAAATAAAATTTTTAAAAACTATATTTTTAAAAATTATATTAAACTGTTTAAATCAAAATTTTAAAAATTACATTACAACTATATAAATAAAAAATTTAAAAAATATATTAAAACTGCAAATAAAAAATTTAAAAAGTTATTTTACAACTATTTAAATGAAAAATTTAAAAAATATATTAAAACTGTAAATAAAAATTCTAAAAATTATATTAAAACTAAATAAAAAATTTTAAAATTTTATTACAACTATGTAAATGAAATTTTTTTAAAATTATATTAAAATGGAATAAAAATTTTAAAAATTATACAGCTATATAAATGAAAAATTTAAAAAATATATTAGAACTGTGAATAAAAATTTTAAAAATTATGTTACAACTATGTACATGAAAACTTTAAAAATTATTAAAACTGCAAATACAAATTTAAAAATTATATTACAGCTATGTAAATGAAAAATTTAAAAACTATTAAAACTGCAAATAAAAATTATATTAAAATATGTAAATAATTTTTAAAATTCTATTAAAACAATGTAAATAAAACTTTTTAAATTAAATTTTTTTAAATTTAAAAAAATATAATTAAGAAAACATTTTAAAAAAATATCCTCCATCAAAGCAAGTGTCCGAGTCCATATTCCTGAGGCACTGTGGTGTCTCCCCAGGGACACGGCGGGGCAGGAGCGCTTCCACACCATCACCACCTCCTACTACCGAGGGGCCATGGGCATCATGCTGGTCTACGACATCACCAACGCCAAGAGCTTCGAGAACATCAGCAAGTGGCTCAGGAACATCGACGAGGTGAGTGCCACGTGCCACACCTGGGCACCTGCGGGCACCCGGGGGCTCCCAGGGGTGCTGGGTTTGGCTTCCTGCTCCTGCCTCTGTCCAGGCATGGAGGCACTCGAGAGGATGGTTCACATTCCGACTCCTCAGGGGTTTATTATTTCTTACAGCCTCACAGCAGTGAGTTCTGCACTAACAAGGCACAAAATGGCCAACTGCCTCTTGGTACAGGGTCTTTTGAGGCTAAATTATCCAAATAAGAAATGACACCTAAATGATTTTCACTTTTAACCCAATAACTAATCCCTCAAAAGTCCTCAGGACCTACGCTTCCAAGCAGGACTGCAGCTGGAATTAGCTCGAGTTAGTTCTGGCTTCACGTAGCTTTGGAATCCTCCAAGGGCTGTGGGTCCTGTCCCTCTCTGGGGCAGCTTTTCTGCTGCTTCTGGGCTTCTTTTTCCTGCCTCTGTCCAGGGTTGGAGGCACTCGAGAGGATGGTTCACATTCCGACTCAGGGGTTTATTATTTCTTACTCACAGCAGTGAGTTCAGCACTAACAAGGCACAAAATGGCCAACTGCCTCTTGGTACAGGGTCTTTGAAGGCTAAATTATCCAATTAAGAAATGACACCTAAATTATTTTCACTTTTAACCCAATAACTAATCCCTCAAAAGTCCTCAGGACCTAAACAATTCCCTGATTCCACGCTTCCAAGCAGGACTGCAGCTGGAATTAGCTCGAGTTAGTTCTGGCTTCACGTAGCTTTGGAATTCTCCCAGGGCTGTGGGTCCTGTCCCTCTCTGGGGCAGCTTTTCTGCTGCTTCTGGGCTTCTTTTTTCTGCCTCTGTCAAGGTCAGGATTGAAGCTCTCGAGACAGAATTTCACATTCAGACTCAGGTGTTCATTATTTCCTATCTCTGTCACAAGTTGTGAGCTCTGCAGCACTCCACTAACAAGTACAAAATGGCCAACAATCTTCTCCTACAAGGTCAAACTATCCAATTAAGAAATGACACCTAAATTATTTTCACTTTTAACTGATCACTCAAAGTCCACAATGTGGACTTTTCTGTCCAATTACAAAAAACCACCCAAACCCATGGAGAACGAGGTGAAGAAGGAGAAGGGTGAAGAAGAAGGAGCAGCCTCCACCCTAAACCTCCATCTTGCTTTATATTTATTACTATATGCTAAACCCCCAAACTCTAAGTTTCCCACCCTGTGCTATCACACACTTCTAACCAACTCCACACCCACAATCCCAGTGCTCTCAGTCAGTTTTTGAAGCCTTCTCCACAGCCTCAGGTCAATGCAGAGCTGTCCTGGGGTCAGAGTCTGTCAGCACAGAAAGTCTGAAATTCCCAGCAGACAAAACTCCAGCAAGGGGGGCTGGACACTAAACAGGATCCTGTCCTGAAACACCCACTGTGTGCACGAGCAAAGTGTGTGCCTGTGCTGGAGGAGGCTGGGCAGTGAGGAGTACACTGGCAGCTGGGAAGGGCAGCTTTGGGGGCAGCTCACACCACACAGTGGGGGCACAGGGGCAGCACAGCCAGCAGGAGCTGCAGAGTAGCTGCACTGTGTGTTACTACTCACAGCAGCTGTTCCTGGGTGTCTTGGCTTGAAAACACTGCTAAGGAAGGCAGGAGCCTCCCCTGAAATGGAAAATGTAGACCCTTCCCTCTGAATTATTATAATTTTGAAATTAAGAGGCTTGCAGGGAAAGATACAGGAGCAGGAATAACAGTTCTCTATTAGGAAAATTAAAAATAAAAATGCAGTAGTGCAAACAAATAAAAACAATAGTGACAGAGTGAGAAGAGGACCTGACCGCCTGTGTGTCAGGGTGGTGGCACAGTCCCATCCCATGGTGGCTCAACCCTCCTGCAGTGCCAGCTGTGCTTCTGCTGGAGCAGGGATCCTGCACAAGGCTGGAGTTTTCCTCTGCAGCTCCAGGGCTGCTGGAGATGGGCCTGGTGCTCCTCTGGGAATGCAGGGCAGGAGAAAGCTGCTCCTCTGGGAATGCAGGGCAGAGGAAAGCTGCTCCTCTGGGAATGCAGGGGGCAAAGGCTGCTGTGCTGTTCCAGGCTCAGATTGTATCCAGGTAGGAATGCTTGGCTCCTCCCCTGGGCAGAGCATCTCCCCATGGGATGATGGAATTTTATCAGTGACGCTCACTGGCTCATGAAAATAAGAGAATTAATAATTAATGGTCCGTTAACATAAAATATCTCCTGGAGGGAGGATTGGTTGTGGGAGAGATAAAGAAAACTGCCCAGTGAACAGATAATAACTGCCCCACCTCTAACAGATAGGAATAGAATACACACCCCCATTTCCAACCTAAGACACTGAGTGTGAGTGTGGAAATCCTCCAAGGTAACTCAGCATCACCATCTCCACTCCCTCGTAATCATGCCTTGAAAGATTTGGAGGTTTCTCATGGCTGGTGCAGGCAGCTTGGCTCCTGGCAGCTGATCATTGCCCTTGGCAGAGGAGAACCAGGACAGGGAGCTGGATAATTTCAGGCAAGGTCAAGTGAAGCAGAAGAAAAGTAACGTGGAAGCATTAAGTGCCTGGATCCCCATGGGCTCATCCTCCAGGAGTTCTGAGATGGCAGGAGAGCAGCACAGCTGTAGTTCCTGTTTTTGTTACACTGCTCCCAAGTGGAATAAATGTTTGGATTTTCCTAGAAAGCACAGAGATGGCTCTGTAGACCTGAGCACAGGTGGGGACTGTCAGGCCCTGCTCAGTGCAGCCCTGAGGCTGGAGAAAGCAGCACAGCAAAAATGAGATGTTGGGATTTGAATTTCCCATCGTGAGAAGTGAGACACAAAGGTGTTTATGGAGAAGTGCCCTGTGTGGTGGGAACAGGAGAGGGGATAAGGTAGCTCAGGAAAAGGCTCAGCAATAGGCTGGAGTAAACTTGAAACTGAGCCTTTGGACTCTGCAGTTGCTTTGTTAAAAATCTCAGAGGTGTCACAGGTGATGATGGATGTCATTGGTACCATCAGAGCTTTGTGGAGGCTGCTCAGGGGCTGTGGCTGTCAAAGGGATGTTTGACACCTTAACGAGCTGTTTTTGTTATGGGAGAAGCTCAGGAGTGGAGTGTTTCTGCAGAAATCCAGTCATTGAGGTTGGAAATTCCTTTGGAATCCCCTGCACTGCCATGGCCAGCACTGCCCCATGTCCCCAAGTGCCACATCCACACAGCTTTTAAATCCCTCCAGGGACGGGGACTCCACCTCTGCCTGGGCAGCTGTGGGGAGTGAATTTTTCCCATCTCCTTTCCTGCCCAGCAGCTTTTTTTTTTTTCTCTGAGGTGTTCCCTGGGGTTGGTGTGACCCCAGTGCAGGACCCAGCTCTTGGCCTTGCTGTCCCCCAGCCCAGTGGCCCCAGCCCATGGATCCAGTCCTGGTCCCTCTGCAGAGCCCCCTGTCCCCAGCAGATCCACATCCCAGGTTTATCCAGCAGGGTGCAAATATCCAAGGCAGGACCAGCCAGTTTCTCCAGAGGAATTTCATGGGAAAAGGTGCCAGAGGTTTCAGCAAAGCTCAGGCAGATGCCATCCACAGCTTTTCCCTCCTCCATTAAGGTCACAGTGTCACAGAAGGAGATCAGGGTGGTCAAGCAGGACCTGTCACAAAGCCAGATCTCCTGCTTGTCCTGCACGTGCTGTGTGATCACAGCCCAGGTGATCTGCTCCAGGACCTTCCCCAGCTCCAAGAGTTCCTGGATCCTCCTTCAGGACTTCCTGGAGCCTGGTGTTATAGGTAAAAATTCGATCAAGCCAATTTAATAATTTAATAATTAATAAAAAGTCTCCATAGCTAACAGTCAAAGGGACAGCCCCGACCCCAGGATCAGAGCTGGGTGAACACTGACTGGAATCCCCTCTGTTCACTCAGTAGAGTTCAGTTTTTATCCTGTTTTTCTTGCCCCAGGCAGATTCTCTTTTCTTCTTTTCATGGTTTCGCATATTTACATTGATTTTTTTTTCTCTGGGTTGAGTTGAACAAAGCTGTGTCTGGGAAGTGATGGATGCCAATCATGAGTTACTGGAACCTGGCATTGAGATGCGAGCTCCTGATGGCTCTGGCTATCTTGATCTAGATACTCATTGAGTATTCATTGTTTGCTGGACCTTCCCTGAGAAAAGGCTCATTCCACACCGAGCTGGTCTATTATCTGCTAATTAGATGCCTCTCTGTGCTGCTGGCTGTGGTTTCACAATTTTGTGAAGCAACCTCTCCGTTTTTGGCTGGTGTGCTTAAAACTTCTAAGGTTTCTTACAAACATAACATATTCCCCATATATTTCACATAAACACGAATCATTCCAAAATTTATATAACACTGGCATCACACTGGCCAATCTCCAGTGAGGCAGGACCTCCCCAGCACTGATGAGAAATGATCCATATTCCCCCTCCAGAGAGGCCTGTGCTGCAGGGAATGAGCTGGATCTGGGATTCCTCATCCCTGCCAGGCTCACACTGCATCCTCCTTCCCTGTTCTCTGGTTTCTGGTTCCTTTCTCTCCCTCATTTCTCTCTTTGGGTCCTGCCCCCTGTTTTCCTCCCCACTCCTTCTTTCTCCCCTGGCTCATCCCTCACGTTGTGCAGTGATAAAACAAGGAGGAAAAAACCATTAACCAGTGCTAGGAAGTCATTAGAGGCTGGGGTTAATTAACAGCTTGTTCCTCTGCCCCTGCAGTGCACGAAGCTCCATTGTGGAAAGCTGTAAATGTTCCCAGATTGCAGGTGCAGATGGTGGCCTGGCCCCACCGAAGTGGAGCAGGTATTTTGGGTGTGAGGGGAGATGTGTGACCCTGTCCCTGTGTCCTTCCAGCACGCCAACGAGGATGTGGAGAGGATGCTGTTAGGAAACAAGTGTGACATGGAAGATAAAAGAGTTGTCCCTAAAGCAAAAGGTGAACAGGTGAGTATCAAACAAAAACTTCTTTATCCAAGTCAGCAAATCACTGCCAAGACTTCTGCCTGCTCCAGGGGGTTGGGATGCCCCAGTGGGGTGTGCCAGGGAATGAATGCAGGAGCTGATGGATGTGAATCCTGGGAATGTTTGCTCAGAAACTGCCATGAATGGGGTGAGCTCAGCTGCAGTTTCTGCTTCCTTTGATAGCTCAAAATTCCCAGACATCCCTGAAGTTCCTCACAGTGTCACCGCGTGTGGTGTCTGTCCTCTTAGGCTCAGACACGGACTTGGGATTATTTAGTAGATTTTAATTGTTCTGAGCTGTGAAGTTGTGAATCTTCTGAGCTGCCTCACCTGGTTGGTGCTGCTGGTGCCCACTGGGGCTGAGAGAGTGACAGAATCCCAGAATCCCTGAGGCTGGGAAAGAGCTCCCAGAGAGTGAATCCAGCCTGTGCCTGATCCCCACCGTGTCCCCAGCCCAGGGCAGAGTGCCACATCCAGGAATTCCTGGGACACCTCCAGCGATGGGCACTCCAACCCTCCCTGGGCAGCCCCTGCCAAGGCCTGAGCACCCTTTCCATGGGCAAATTCCTCCTGGTGCCCACCCTGAGCCTGCCCTGGCCCAGCCTGAGGCCATTTCCCCTTGTCCTGTCCCTGTTCCCTGGCAGCAGAGCCCGACCCCCCCTGGCTGTCCCCTCCTGGCAGGGAGTTGTGCAGAGCCACAAGGTCCCCCCTGAGCCTCCTTTTCTCCAGGCTGAGCCCCTTGCCAGCTCCCTCAGCCAGTTTCTGCTTCCTTTGATAGCTCAAAATTCCCAGACATCCCTGAAGTTCCTCACAGTGTCACCGCGTGTGGTGTCTGTCCTCTTAGGCTCAGACACGGACTTGGGATTATTTAGTAGATTTTAATTGTTTGGGCTGTGAAGTTGTGAATCTTCTGAGCTACCTCACCTGGCTGGTGCTGCTGGTGCCCACTGGGGCTGAGAGAGTGACAGAATCCCAGAATCCCTGAGGCTGGGAAAGAGCTCCCAGAGAGTGAATCCAGCCTGTGCCTGATCCCCACCGTGTCCCCAGCCCAGGGCACAGTGCCACATCCAGGAATTCCTGGGACACCTCCAGGGATGGGCACTCCAACCCTCCCTGGGCCAACACTGGAGGTGCCCCAGCAGTGCCAGCACAGGGGACGGGCACTGCCCTGGGCCTGCTGCCACCCCAGAGCTGGCACAGCCATGGGTCCTCTTGCCCACCTGGACACCCCTGAATTCATGTCCACTCCAGTATTCCCAGCTTTATAAATGCTGCTGATCCCAAAATGGTGATGGCAGTGCTGGAACATCCCCAGCATCTCTAACCTCCCTCTCTCTGTTTGCTGCAGATTGCCAGGGAGCACGGTATTAGGTTTTTTGAAACTAGTGCAAAAGCAAATATAAACATTGAGAAGGCATTCCTCACATTAGCAGAAGACATTCTTCGAAAGGTAGGTGCTCACAGCATTCCTTTGGAACAAATATCCTGAAATTCCAGCTCTCCTGTTGTGATGTTCACCTGTGTTATTGCAGTTTGACTTTGCTGTGCTGCAGAGGAGTCCCTGCAGGAACAGGGCTGAACTTCTGTAGTTTTTTTGATGTTTTGTTGTTGTAGGGGGCCTGCCTGCAGGGAGTAACATCCATCAGAGCCAGGGAACTGAATTTCCTGGTTTTTTGGCCCTTACACTCATGGTTGTTTTACCTGTGCTGGAGTTAAATGTTTCCATTGGTGTGGAGGAAATTGTCCTCTCTTGCCACTGTGTCTGTCCTTGCACTGACAGCAGTGAGGGGCAGCTGGGAAGAGTTCAGGTGTGGAGGGTGGGGCAGGAACAACCTCTGCCACTCCCAGCTGTGCTCCCAGCCATGGCATTTCCTTGGGGGTTCCATTGCCCCAGATCATCTGGTGGTTGGCTCCTCTTCCTCAGAGGTGCAGTGTGCCGTGGAACCGTGGAGTCAGTGAGGCTGGAAAAGCTCTCTGAGCTTCACCAGCACTGCCAGAGCCACCACTGATCCATGTCCCCAAGTGCCACATCCACAGGGCTCTTAAATCCCTCCAGGGATGGGACTCCACCACTGCCCTGGGCCTTTTCCAATGTTTAACAACCCTTTTCCAGGAAGAAATTCCTGCTGATGTCCACCCTGAGCCTGCCCTGGCCCAGCCTAAGGCCATTTCCCCTGGCCCTTGTTGTTCCTGTTCCTACACAAATGAACCCCATCCCAAGCCTGTCTCAGCCCTGCTTTCCTCCCTCTCCCATGTGAATGCTGTGGATAATGTCACCCAGTTGTCACTGCAGTTTTGTCATTTCTTAATCACTTCTTTTTGACAAGCTTTGTGTGATAAATGGGGTGAAAACTCCTGGTCTTTGGTGAACAGGAGGTCAGGCTACAAACCATACCAACCTTTGGGCCTTAAATCTTCATTTTTGGCCTCTGTTATTATCCTGGGGGTTCTTCTGTAAGGCTGTGACAAAGAGAGTTAAAAAGGGAATGTGGAGAGTGAAGTGTGGTGAGGGTTTAGGTTCCTTTCCAGACAGCTGGAAGTAGATGTTGGTGTTGGATCAAACCCACTGGAGTGGGGTTTTGGCTTAGGTGTCACCAAGTTCTCTCCTGTGACAAGGAGGAGGGAGCAGAGGCTGGGAACAAGCCCAGTTTATCCATAAAACTGTGGGTTTTGGAGGTCATTAGTTCACATCATCTGAGTTCAGCTTGTGGTGTTTGTAGCCTGGGATTTCCTTGCTCCACCAAACCCAGCACTGGCTCTGCGTGCAGGACCTAAAATAGTTCCAGTTGACTTTGGGGTGGTCCCAGTTCAAACTCTGGGCTTTTTCCCAGTTTTCCATTTATTTAAAACAAACCAAACAACAACAAAAAACCCTTAAATTGCTTTTGCACATTTGTGCTGGAGAGGGGGGAGGATTCCCTGCGTTTCTGAGGAGCTCTTTGTGCACAGTTGATCGCAGCTCCCTCTGGTGATGCCAGCCCCCATCTCTGGGTGTTTTCCTGGGGATCTCCAGAGCCATCTAACTCTGTTCACTTGTTTCCTTGCAGACCCCTGTAAAAGAGCCCAACAGTGAAAATGTAGATATCAGCAGTGGCAGTGGGGTGACGGGCTGGAAGAGCAAGTGCTGCTGAACCTTCTCCTCTCTCACCAATCGCCATCCACCGCCCCTTTTTTCTCGCTGCAAAACAAACCACTCTGCCCGTTTTTTAACCTCAAACCAATGGTTTTGTTCCTCATCTTAACCAGCTCCTGCCTCCCCTTGGTTTTCCGGCTAGGACAGCTTTGCCTACTCCAGTTTTCTCAACACATGTATAGGAAATTCATCTCCGTGACTTCATTTCCATGTCCCTGCTCAGCTCACCACTACGTTTGGGTTGTATTATAGTCCCGTCCCTCCTGCCATTAAACCCCAGAGCAATCATACTCAACTCTCTTCTGCAAATTGTATAAGAATAAAGGTTAGAATTAACAATTGATTTTGTACAACAGTGGAATTTTCTGTCATGGATCATGTGCTTGAGTCACCATATTCTCTAGATGCATCAGGCAAGAGCCAGGAAAAACTCATTTTCGCCTTGAGTCCGTGAGTGGGGTTTCTTTGTCCTGTGCCTTATGTGGAAAAAGGAACTTTTATTTTCACTTTCTTTTCTCTTTTCTGGTGGAAGCATGTGCAGGAGACATCCCATCCCCCCGTGCCATTGAGTCCTGACCTCTGTAGTGGTTGCTTTCTGTAACGTTGGTGTCATGCATCGAGGACAAAGGGTGGTGCAAAACAAAAGCAAACTCCATGTAACCTGCTGTGTCTCCTCTTGCCAATCCCGCCGTTCCCAACTCTTCCTGCTGCCATTTTTTTTCTCACTTTGCCGCTCTTTCTTTTTCTTTTTTTTCTTTCTTTTTTTTTTTTTTGCCTGCATGCTGCTTTGATTTGCATTTCTCCATGGTGTGATGTGTTAATGGAAAGGATGGCAACGCGGTGTGTTTGCCAAAAATTTAATACAAAGCACTGATTTAGCTTCCGAGGTAAAAATGTTGAGATTCCTACTAACCCCCCTAGGCCTGTCCGTCACTAGTGGTCCCCTCCTCCCGCGTAGCCCCGGCCTTTCCCCCCATATGGAAGAGTTATTTGCATGCACTAGTTTCTATGGAGGGTGATGTGGTTGTCTACTTTCTGTGTATGAATATAACCTGGATTCCCAAACTGACAGCAGTTCATTAACATGAGCTCCCAGCTTCTGTCCCCGAGGGCTGCGGGGCCAGGCCGAGGCTCAGCGGAACTGGATGGAAAGAGAAGGAAAGGAAAGGAAACAAACCAGCCAGCGGGCAGTTTAATTTATTACCTCCCTGGAAACTTTCCACTTGCCAGTGTCCGCAGCAGGGCCAGCCCCGCCTGGGATCCCGGCGGGCGATCCCTGGGATGGAGCCTCTGTCACCCGGCCCTGCTGGCCCTGCCCTGCCTCTGCTGCTGCTGTCACCCGGCCCTGCTGGCCCTGCCCTGCCTCTCCTGCCGCTGTCACCCGCCCTGCTGGCCGTGTCGTGCCGCAGGGAGGGGCCCAGCACTGCCGCTCCCGCTGCCGAGCGCGTTCCAACCGGGAGCTCTGCCCCACGTGGATCGCCAGCTGTGGATCCCCAAGCGGGAGCTCTGCCGCACGTGGATCGCCAGCTGTGGATCCCCAAGCGGGAGCTCTGCCCCACGTGGATCGCCAGCTGTGGATCCCGGCGCTGAATCCCAGCCCTGGCAGGGAGAACACGCCACAGCCACCCCAAGCCCCTGGGCCCCAGCTGTGCCTCGCTCCAGCCACAGCCTTGGCACCGGGACTGGCACAGGACTGGCATGGGACTGGCTCCGCTCCGCCCTCGCCGCTAACGCTGAGTGAATTTTAACGAAATGACGGTGTTTTAACACGGAGCTCCTGGTCTGGAGCCGTGTGGGGGCTCACCGAGGTGTCTCCCTGTCCCTCTGTATTTGGCATTTTGTCCCCGTGTGTGTTAACCCTTCCCAGGCGAGTGGCTGGTGAGCTGGGGCTCAGCGTTCTACAGAGTCCGGCCACTTCCGGCTAAATCTGCACTTTCTAACGTGATCAAAAAGGGAAAAAAATTAGCGAAATCTACATCAAGGGGTTTTTTGTATAATCCTTGTTTTAAACGTGAGCTTTTTATTTGCTTGCAGGGGCTCTGCTCCCTGTGTGTGACCCCTTTGTAGGCGCTGTGCCCGTCGCAGGCACAGGTGGAGCCCAGGCCACTCGCTGGTGCCACTCGCTGGTGCCACTCGCTGCCACCACCACCCCCTCGTCCCTCCCCGTCAATAAAACTGAGCTGTTTCTATCGGGTCTATTTCTGTTCCTGTCCAAGCTCCAGCTGCACCCGTGGGCTCAGGCGGGGCGGGGCCGGGAGGAGGGAGCAGCTGAATGCTGAAACAGATAAAACCCCCCCTAAAAATAATGATAATTAAAGTAATGATCATGTCGGAGGAGTTTGCAGTAACTTGATGTCTGCTGGTATCTCAACTCCCTGCTAGTTCCAGACTAACTGCTTGTGAAACCTGTGCTTGGAAGCCCAGCCCAGCCCTGTGGAGTAGAGAAGGGCAGCGGGAGGTGTCAGCAGCCCCTCCGTGCCCCCGCCCGCGGGGGGAGCTCAGCGCTGCCCTTTTGTCACCAAAAAAGTGTTAAATGATGAAATTGGTCCTGCTCAACCAAACCCGAGCTTGGCTCTGTGCCACGGCCATGTCACACGCCGGGGCTGCCTCGTGCCCTCGGACTCGGACGGTGGAATAAAACAGCATCAAGGTCTTGGATTAATTCCCATGCCGACAGTTTTTTACTTAATCTTTTAATATTTTTGCTACTCCACTCTGGCTTTTTATTTAAAACACATTCTTTTGTACCACTTACTGTATCAAATTGTATAAAAGATCACTGTCCCATTCTTGGTCGTACCAAGAGCAAATAAAAGCTTTTATAAACTTGCAGTGGTGACTTCCTGGGCCCCTTGAATTCCCTCTGGCTCCGGTGGGAGTGAGCCCAGCTCTGCAGGAGGAGGGATGAGTCCTCCCAAACTTTCAGGACTGGTTTGCCTGGGGGTGGAGCTGTTCCTGCTGCCTTTCCCGAGGCTGCCGGTGGTGTTTTCCGAGGGCAGGAGGGTGGGAAGGGCAGCAGAGGGTCCGAGCCTGCCCCATCCCCACGTGGAGCCCCCTTGGGAGGGGGACACCAGCCTGGGGGTGTGAGGTCTCCTCTGGGGCCCTGCTGGGGAGGGTCTTTGGGCGTTTTTTGGGAAGGAGTTGTTCCATCCCATGTTCTGCACCCCTGCCTTGGGTGGGAAGCTCCAAGAGCCCCCACTGCTGTGCCACTGTCCTTCCCCAGCTGTCCCCTCTGCCACCTCTCCAGCCCCCGGAGCTGGGTGTTCCCAGCTCTCTGCAGCCTCTGGGGGCTGGGGACGTCCCCTCCAGCAAAGCCCAGTGGGGGACCATCCTGGGGACAGCAGAGGACCCAGTGCTGCTGCTGCCCCCTCCCTGTCCCCACAGGGACCATCCTGGGGACAGCAGAGGACCCAGTGCTGCTGCTGCCCTCCCAATGCCATGGTGTCCTTGTTCCCACAGTGTCCCTGTTCCCAGTGTCCCCAGTGCCATGGTGTCCTTGTTCCCAGTGTCCCCATTGGCACAGTGTCCCTGCTGCCACGGTGTCCCTGTTCCCACAGTGTCCCCACTGGCACAGTGTACCCACTGCCATGATGTCCCTGCTGCCATAGGGTCCCCAATGCCGTGCTGTCCCTGCTGCCACCACAGTGTCCCTGTTCCCAGTGTCCCCAGTGCCATGGTGTCCCCGTTCCCACAGTGTCCCCACTGGTGCAGTGTCCCCACTGCCATGGTGTCCTTTTTCCCACAGTGTCCCCACTGCCACAGTGTCCCTGCTGCCATGGTGTCCCTGCTGCCATAGGGTCCCCAATGCCGTGTTATCCCCAGTGCCACGGTGTCCCTGTTCCCATAATGTCCCCATGCCGCGGTGTCCCTGTTCCCTCAGTGTCCCCGTGCCGCGCTGTCCCTGCTGCCACCACAGTGTCCCTGTTCCCAGTGTCCCCAGTGCCACGGTGTCCCCACTGCCACCGTGTCCCTGTTCCCACAGTGTCCCTGGTGCCATGGTGTCCCTGCTGCCATAGGGTCCCCAATGCCGTGTTGTCCCCATGCCGCGGTGTCCCTGTTCCCATAATGTCCCCGTGCCGCGGTGTCCCTGTTCCCTCAGTGTCCCCGTGCCGCGGTGTCCCTGCTGCCACCACAGTGTCCCCAGTGCCGCGGTGTCCCCAGTGCCGCGGTGTCCCCGTTCCCATGGCGCCGGTGTCCGGGAGAGCGAGGCCGTTTTTGTGCCGCTGCTGGCAGTGAAGGCGGGGGTGTGTGATGGCCGCGGTCCCGGGACGGGGCGAGGCCGTGGGGGAGCAGCTCCGCGACCCCAAATCCTCCCCATGCCGGGGGAGCCCCGCACAGCCACCCACGGCTGGGGGATTTTGGTGGGGAGTTCCCAAGGAGCCTCGGGGGGGAGGACCTGACAGGGACCTTCCCCATGCAGCAGCTCCCAGGGTCCCGCTTGTCCGTGTCACCCCCGGCAGCGAGCCCTGGTCTTTCCCCATCCTCCTCCTCCTCCTGCTGCTGCTGTATCCTTCTGTCCCCGTCCCGGCTCCATCCCCACCCCGGCTCCAGCCCCATCCCGGCTCTGTTAGCAGCGAGCCCTGGGTCTTTCCCCATCCTCCTCCTCCTCCTGTTGCTGCTGTATCCTTCTGTCCCCATCCCGGCTCCATCCCCACCCCGGCTCCAGCCCCATCCCGGCTCTGTTCCACACGTGCCCTTCCCTGTCCCCTCTCCTTTCCTACAGCCGTTCCCTCCCTTTCCCTGCTCCTTTTTCCATCCCTTCTCCTTTTTCCATCCCTGCTCCTTTTCCCACCCCTGCTCCTTCCCTGTAGCTGCTCCATCGTTTTCCCTGTTCCTTCCCCATCCCTGCTCCTGCTTCACCCTTCTCACTGTTCCACCTCTGCTCCATCCCATCCCTGCTCCGCCCTGTCCAGCCTGCCCTTGTGCTTGGCCTGAGGGACAGCACACGGTGACACGTTCCCAGGGCCGGGCACTTGCGGCTTCCTCCCCTCCTTCATCCTCCTCAGTCTCCAGCGGAGTGGGGACGCAGCCGGCAAAGGACCGGGGAGGGGGGCCGGGGCTGAGGAGTGGGACCGGGGCTTCTCCGCCCCCCGGGCTGAGTGACCGAGGGTCCGGTGTCCCCGCCCAGGGTGGCCGGGAGTCCCCAGGGTGCGGAGCCCCCGCTCGGGGTGACGCTGCTGTCGCTGCCGAGGGTCCCCCTGGCTGTGATGCCCCCGACCCCCTCTCCCGGAGCCATCTGTGCGGGGGTCCCGGCCGGGACATCGGGGTGTGGGGCGGTACCGGGGACCCCCCGGTGCCCCGCTGGTCCCTTGTGCTCCCCGCAGCCCTCGCTTGGGACCCGCGGCAGCTCCCGGTGACTCCGCGCCTCCAGCAGCGGGACGGGATGGGGAAGGGTCCCCACGGCGCCCCCCGCCCCATTTCCCTCGGCGATCAGAGAAACCCGACCCCCCGGGCCCCCGGGGCGAGCCGGGGCTGAGCCCCCCGACCCCAGGGCGCGGGCGGAGCCGCCCCCACCCCCCGAGACACCCCTGGAGCGGCCCCGCGGGGGATGCCCGGTCCCGGGGGGGGATGCCCGGTTCTGGGGGGATGCCCGGCCCTGGGGGGATGCCCGGCCCTGGGGGGGTGCCCGGTCCCCAGGGGATGCCCCGCACGGGGGTCCCCGCCCGCCGCCGCCTCCCCCGCCCCCGCCGGGGGGGTTCCGCCTGCGGGGGGGGGCCGGTCCCCAGGAGATGCCCGCTCCCGGGGGGGGATGCCCGGTTCTGGGGGCATGCCCGGCCCTGGGGGGTGCCCGGTCCTGGGGGGTGCTCGGTCCCGGGAGATGCCCGGTCCCGGGGGATGCCCGGTCCCCAGGGGATGCCCCGCACGGCGGCGATGGAGCCCGGCCCGGGGCCGGCCTGAGCCGCGATGCGATGGAGAAGCTGGCGGCGGGGCTGGCCCGGCTCCGCTGGAGCCCCGCGGCGCTGCCCCTCGACGCCATCGTCAGCCAGTGCCGCCTGCCCACCCTCGTCTGCCTCGGGCAGGGTGAGGACACCGGGGGGGGGAGAAGTCTGGAGGGACGAGAGGAGGAGGAGGAGGAGGAGGAGGAGGTGATGGGAGGAAGGGGAGACGCGGCAGCAGGAAGGGCTGGACAGTGCGGGCAAAAGCAAATCCCAGAAAAGAGGCTCCGGGGGGCTCCGTGGCAGGGGAGATGCCAAAGCTGAGCCCTGAATCGCTCCAAGTCACCACTGGGTCAGGTAAAGCACGGCCCGGCCCCGGCCCCGGCCCGGCGGCGGCGGCGATGGAGCCCGGCCCGGGGCCGGCCTGAGCCGCGATGCGATGGAGAAGCTGGCGGCGGGGCTGGCCCGGCTCCGCTGGAGCCCCGCGGCGCTGCCCCTCGACGCCATCGTCAGCCAGTGCCGCCTGCCCACCCTCGTCTGCCTCGGGCAGGGTGAGGACACCGGGGGGGGGAGAAGTCTGGAGGGACGAGAGGAGGAGGAGGAGGAGGAGGAGGAGGAGGAGGGAGGGAGGTTGGAGTGATGGGGAGGAGGAGGAGGAGGGTGGGAGGAAGGCTGGAGGGAGCAGGAGAGGGAGGGAGGGAGGATGGAGGGACGGAGAGTGAGGCTGAAGTGATGAGGAGGAGGGAGAAAGGATGGAGTGATGAGGAGGAGGGAGGGGTGGAAGGCGGAGGGATGGGGAGGGAGGGAGGAAGGCTGGAGAGTGAGGACGAGGAGGGAGGGAGGTTGGAGTGGTGAGGGAACGGGAGAGACCAAGGACGAAGGGACCGGGAAGAGGGAGGGAGGAAGTCTGGGGAGAGGAAGACGAGGGAGGGAGACTGGAGCGATGAAGAGCAGGGAGCGGTGCAGGGTTGAGGGACGGGGAAGTGAGGAAGGCTTGAGAGTGAGGAGGAGGAAGGGACGAAGGCTCAGAGGAAGGGATGGAGAGTGGGGGGATGAAGAGGAAGACAGGAAAGGTGGAGAGCTGAGAGGAGAAGCGAGGAGGAGGTGGAGGGAGAGAGGAAGGCTGGAGGGGTGAAGAGTGGGCTGGGAGAGGCTGTAGGGATGAGGAGGAGGAAGACTGGAGGGAGCGGGAGAAGGAAGGAGCCTGGAGTGCTGAGGAGGAGGAGGGAGGCAGGGAGGAAGACTGGGGCCAGGTGACACCAAGCTCCTGTCCCAGATCCTTCCGGGTGGGGGGCTGGGACAGGGGGGGCTGGGGACCCTCGGGGGGGTCCCTGGGCTCCTGTGCTGGGGGGATGAAAGGGATGAAAGGGGGGAAAGTTGTGGGGCCCAGGTTGCTCCCACTCCCCCCAGCCATGGCCCGGCACTTTCCCCACTGCCACCCATCCCGGGTGACCCTCTGGAGGGGCTGGCACCAGGCTGGCAGGGGCTGGGAGCCACCGTGTGCCCCCTCCCCACCCTCCCTGGGACACCGCCTGGCTGGGGTGGGGGGGCTGGCTGTGACCCCCCCTGCCCAGGCTGAGGGGAAAACAGGGGATGGGGCAGTGTGGGGTGCAGGGGGTGCAGGGACCCCCGGCCTGGCCGTGTCCCCCAGAAACAGGGGGTGCAGGGGGCCCTGGGGGGTCGGGTTGCCCCTCCCCGGAGGGCTCCCGGGGGGGCTGCGCCGGCCCCGACTCAATAAACTTCTTGTTTGCGGCGGCTGCAGCTTTTCAGGGGGGACAAAGAAATTGTTTCCTGGGCAACTGGCGGCTCTTGGCAGCGGCACCTGCTCATCCCTCGCTCCGTCCGTCTGTCTGTCTGTCCAGCGCCGCCTGGGGGGGTGGGGAGGGGGGAGCTGGCAGCCCTGTCACCCTGTCCCCCCGCAGGTGAGCGCGTGGAGGGGGTGACAGCCCAGGACGTGCTGCTGGTGCACTCGTGCCGCCAGTGGACCACGGTGACAGCCCACAGCCTGGAGGAGGGGCACTACGTCATCGGGCCCAAAATCGACATCCCGCTGCAGTACCCAGGTGGGGACGGGGTGGGGACAGCGGGGACAGGGGAATGGTGTCCCCGGGCCAGCAGGGCCGGGACCTGCCCCCCTCCCCTTCCCCCGCCCGCTGGGGCTGCTCCAGTGAGGTCCAGTAAGGTCCAGTTTGGGGCAGGAGATGCTCTGGTTTGGGGGCTGCCCCCAGCCCTGGCAGAGGGGGCTGGCAGGGATTGGGATAGGATGGGATCCATGGGATGAGATGAGATGGGATGGGATGAGATGGGATGGGATCCATGGGTTGGGATGTGGTGGGATCCAGTGGATGGGATCTATGGGATGGGATGGGAGGGGATGGGATCCATGGGATGAGATGAGATGGGATGGGATGAGATGGGATGGGATCCATGGGTTGGGATGTGGTGGGATCCAGTGGATGGGATCTATGGGATGGGATGGGATGGGATGGGATCCATGGGATGGGGTTGGATGGGATGGGATCCACGGGATGGGATCCACGGGATGGGGTTGGATGGGATGGGATCCATGGGATGGGATCCATGGGATGGGATCCACGGGATGGGATCCATGGGATGGGATGGGATGCAGACAAGGACAGCAATAGGATGCAGACAAGGACAGGGATGAGGCTGGGGTAGGATGGGATAGAGCTGGGAACGGGAGAGAGACAAGGATGGGATGGGGAAAAGGGAGAGGGATGAGCTGGGATGGGATGAGGAAGGGATGGGGACAGGGAGAGTGATGAGGATGGGTTGGGCTGAGCTGTGGAGGAGCTGGGTTGGGGTGAGGATGAGGATGAGGATGGGGCCGGGTTGGGGCCGGCAGTGCAGACGAAGGTGCTGAGCTGCCTCTGCCGGCAGCCGCCAGAGCCTTAATGACCCCTCTAAGTGCTCCATGGCGGTAATGAGTCCTGCTAATAAATAAATAATGGGAAATGGAGCGGGGGAGGGGTTAATCATCCGTCCCACGGGGGACGCAGGGGGCTGGGCAGTGTGTTAACAGCCTTGGGGGCTCGGCCGTGCCCAGCGCTGCCCCGGGATGTGGGGCTGAGCCGGCTCCAGCCTCGGGTGCTCCCAGAACCCAGCGAGGAGCTCTGGTGTCCCAGCTCCGCCGGCCGGCCGGGATGGGAATTAATATTCCCCTCAGGTCCGTGCCCGGCAGCGGATGCCGGGGGTGGCGGCTTCGCTGGGGCTGCAGCTCCCCCGCTGCCGTTCCTGCCCATTCCTGCTCCCGTTCCTGCCTTCCCCGCTCCCGTTCCTGCCCTTCCCCATTCCCATTCCTGCTCTTCGCCGTTCCTGCCCATTCCCACTCCCGTTCCTGCCCTTCCCCATTTGCGTTCCTGCCTCTCCCCACTCCCATTCCTGCCCTTTCCCATTTCTGCCCATTCCCGTTCCCATTCCTGCCTCTCCCCACTCCCGTTCCTACCTCTCCCCATTCCCGTTCCTGCCCTGCCCAGTTCCTGCCTTCCCCCGTTCCCATTCCTGCCCTTTCCCATACCTCCTTTCCCCATTCCCATTCCTCCTTTCCTCAGTACCATTCCTACCTTCCCCTGTTCCCATTCCTGCCCTTCCCTATCCCCATTCCCATTCCTGCCTTTTCCGTTCCCATTCCTGCCCTTCTCCATCTCTGCTCCCATTCCTGCCTTTCCCCGTTCCCATTCCTTTCCTTCCCCATTCCCTTTCCTCTTTCCCCCATTCCCGTTCCCGCCTTCCTCCCCTCCCATTCCTCCTTCTTCCCCCATTCCCTTTCCTCCTTCACCCATTCCCATCCCTGCCTTCCCCCCCCCATTCCTCCTTTCCCCATTCCCATTCCTGCCTTTCCCCGTTCCCATCCCTGCCTTCCCCCCCTCCCATTCCTCCTTTCCCCGTTCCCATTCCCGGTTCCCTTCCCGGTGTCTCTCCCACCCGAGCCGTGGGGTCACTGTGCCCTGGCAGAGCTGGGATGGGATTTTGGGGGGCAATGGGCACCCCTGGCAATTTGGGCTGCTCTGGGCAGTGTTGTTGCACTCCCAGGAACGCTTTTGGGGGTCCCTGCAGCTCTGGGTGTGCCGAGTGGCACTGCTGGGACACCCCGTGCCTCGTCCCCACCCCAGAAACCCCCCAGGGGCTGTTGGGGGACGCTTTGGGGTCCCCTTGCAGCACCTGGACACTGGCAAAGCCCACAGGAGCGTCCCCAAAGACGTGATGGGGACCCCAGGCTGCCCCAGGGGTGGCTGTCCCCCATGAAGGGGCCCCGGGGGGGTGACAACAGGTCCCTGTGAGGGGTCGGGCCCCCCTCACCTCGGGGGTCCCCGCAGGGAAGTTCAAGCTGCTGGACCAGGACCGGGACCTCCGCGAGCCCGTGCAGTACTTCAACAGCGTGGAGGAGGTGGCCAGCATCTTCCCAGACCGCATCTTCGTCATGGAGGCCATCACCTTCAGCGTGAAGGTCCTGGGGACAGCAGGGGATGGGGCTGGGCAGGGGGGGACACTGGGGGGACAGCAGGGAGTGCTGGTGGGACAGCACGGGACACCGAGGGCAGGGGTGGGGCAGGAGGGGAGTGGGGGTGAGGTGACAGGGACTTTGGGGGTTGGTGGGACATCAGGAGAGGACGGTGGGACAGCGAAGGTTGGGGGTGGGACACCAGGGTGAGTGGTGGGATGTTGGGGGAATTGGTAGGACATCACTGCAGGGTGGGGGGAAAAGGGAAAAGCAAGGAACAGGGCTGGGACATCAGGAGAGGACAGTGGGACAGCAGGGAGTGGTGGTGGAGCACCAGGGATGGTGGTGAGACTTCGAGATGGTGGTGGAGCATCAGGAATAATGGTGGGATGATGTCAGGGGATGGTGGTGGAACTTCAGGGGATGGTGGTGGGACATCAGGGATGGTGGTGGGACATCAAGGATAGTGGTGGAATTTCAGGGATGGTGGTGAGACATCAGGAATAATGATGGGATGATGTCAGGAGATGGTGGTGGAACTTCAGGGATCGTGGTGGGATGTCAGGGGATGGGGATAGGACATCAGGGGATGGTGGTGGGATATCAGGAATAATGATGGGATGATGTCAGGGGATGGTG